CTTGCTGAATTTAGGCAAGTTTATGTACTCTTACCAAAATGATTTGCTTCCCAGTAGATTTAATGATTACTTTATTGAAGTTAATCAGGTGCATCATTATAACACTCGCAGTTCTAACAATATTTATGTTCCATTTTGCAAAACTAATATCCTACAGTTTTCCGCGAGCTTTCAGGGTCCAAAATTGTTCAATATGTTAAGTTCAGATATGAGGAATGCTTATTCTCTTCGATCATTTCAAATCAAACTGTAAAAATATTTAATGTGAAAGTATTCGTAAATGTTAAGAAATGACAATTACTTTTAATTTACAGTATAGCATTGTGACACTTGTGTATAAGTCCGTATATCTCTGTTGTTTTTCTTTTTCCATCTGTATTTTTTGTATTTTATATATATATATATATATATATATATATATATATATATATATATATATATATATATATATATATATATATATATATATATATATATATATATATATATATATATATATATATATATATATATATATATATTGTATCGGTAATAAGGTAGCCCAATAATTTATAAGCTTTGCTTTGTTTTGGGCTTCCTTCCCATTCTTTTGTATTTATTATATAATTTGTGAATTTTTTGTTTTATGTGGCAAAATAAATTGTTGTTGTAATATACCTGTTATCTCTTTTTTCTACCACAGACTTCGGACAATGAGACTACAGTATACATATTTTTTTTCTGGTGACAGAAAATTCTCGGGTAAGTCTAGCCATTGTTAAGTATATAACAATTAATTTCCGTATTTATTATACTATTATATTATAATATATATATTATAATTAAGTATATAACAATGAATTTCCGAAATATGTACTGTAGGTATGTTGTTCTGCATTTTGTGAGCTTCGATTTAATGTAAAAATTTAATCTGAATCACTTCGTAAAATGTTTTGAAATGTTTTCATTTTAATATTTTAAAATAAACTATAAACTGCTTTTTTTAGTGTGAAGTTTCACTTCACACTGTTGTGATGGCTGGCGAATTCATTTCTTTATTAGCCCATACACTTGTACGCACGCACACAATTACCAGTTCCAGACCTCCTGAGTCCCTATATCCCTCAGAGACCATGTGCATTTATGGATAACGTTTGTATTTGTGAGTAACACTTGTGTTTCATTGGGCATTACGAAAACATCTCCTGAGGATCACGCCATGCTTTTAGCATTTCACTGTTTCTCTGTAATATTGTACGGGATTTGTACCCCGCGAATTTATACAATAGAATGGAATATAAACAAGGACAAGTTAAAGTTTTGACAGTTTGATTACAAAATATTGTATGCACAGAGTAGAATTGTACACTCAATGTGTTTGTATCATATGCAATACATGTGTAGTCATTCGCGCATCCGTACAGTCAATGGCGCGACATCTGTGATGGGTCCAAAGCTAATAAACCTGCTACTGATCGACTTAAGACGTTTTACCCTCAGACAATACATCTATACAAAACGCAAAAACATTTACTTGCTACTGAAAACTACAAGAAACATACATTTTATTGTGTTACTGAAGATTTGTTGCGTCAAACAATAACATTACTTTTAACTTCGATGCAAATTTTAATACAAGTAAGGTATGGTATCATATTTCATAATATAATGAACAATGTAAACTAGCCCTACATTTCGCCGAACATAATTTCGGCACCTTTTTCGTACCGCCATTTGCAATTGACCGTGCGGCATGCATAAATTAAACATTTATTCATTGTTTCAAACTTGTCATTTATTGGATGAAAGTTGACGTTACTATGGGCAAACTTAATTGTTGCTAAGTTAAAACTTTTTTCAAGGTTGTTTACAATGTTTGACTTACATGTTTTAATTAAAACCTCAAAAAATTTACAGTATAAATGCAAATAAGCGAGATGGCCTCAAGGTACTTGTTCAAAGTAGAATATGTGGAGAAAATAGATTTTGTTCTTTTTTCGTCAACCTAACCGACATTTCAGTGATTATTCATTCATGAAATTGACTAATAATATAAAACAAAATGTCTGTGCTTTACAAGTCACTACACCGAATACAATTAGAATTCGTTTTTGCCATGAAGATTACGTAAATTTGCCATACGGTAATCGGGATATGTTTATTGAAATGTTCAAGACAGGAAAGCTGGTAAACAACCACGACTACACAAAAATTTATCTAAAAGTATCAGAACTAGACTCTCCAATGGCAATGGCAACACATGCAGTGAAAAAAAGATAAGTTGCAAGACAAAGATTTGAAAATCAAACCACCATGCACTAAAGTCCAACATGTAGTTCATATCGATGATGACGACGATGATAATTTTCGTGTATCAGCATCAAAACCAGAGAAAAATGCAAGAAAGCCATACTGTTACTTCACCAAGCCATAAAATCAATCACAGTCTTGATTCGGCCTTTTTAACAGCAACGGATGATGAAAAGGCAGTGAATTCAAACCCTTCGCCTCTGCAACGGTACGTCAATAAATTGGAAGCAAACGTGACTAACCAAATGCAAAAAGTATCCCTTTTGCAGTCTAATTTAAACAATGTGGATGAAAAACTGGAACAGCTGAAATCCATACATGACCGTGGTAAAGGATAGGTGTGCGGTAACTCATTTAAGATTGGAACACACTTCAAGGAACTGTGTTCTTGATAAATGTATGGATGTATTTAGTTGTGGCATCGAAAAGTTTCACCATAACCAGGTAAATCGGTCAAAATTGAATCAGGAATTAAAAAGGGAAGAAACCGCTCTCGAAAAACTTAAAATCGAACTGAGCAATCGTCAGTCTGCTATCAGAAGTTTGGAAAATGTGCCAACACATCGGATTGAGCAAAGATTGCTGTCTGAAAACTGAGATGACTATGTTGTTGGTGGCTTGAAGAATTGGTCTTTGCTTCGCAGACATGTACACCTTCATTGAAGGTTACTGCAAGTGTAATTTCAGTGGCAAAATTCCACCAAAAGAGAACCTTACTGACATACTGCAATGGGTTGAATACTCAGATGAAGACGACGGAGAAGAAACATTGCTACATGCGAAACGGCGACGTAGACACGAGAACCCATCAAAAAGTGTCCTTGAAAGTATGGCATCGATTTTCCTGTTGGCTGTTCTTCCAGCAAATCCAGTTCATCATCACGATTGTCTAGTACTTGTACACATGTGTCAAATGATGAAACCCAACAATCTGAACCAACAACAATAGAAGAAGAAGCACAACTAGAACTAGCATTACAAGCAAGTTCTTTCGACGTATGAGTTCAAAATAACCAGTACGAGGCTGTTGAGCATATAACAGAAACCAACACGAACGTCGCAAATGAAGTTGAAAATGATGCGGCCAACACATTGATCGAATTGATGTTCTTGTCCAATGGGTCATTCCAGAAAACATCCATACCACCCCTGCGGAGGAAATAGGAAGTTAACCCCCCTACCCCCTTTGGATGTCCTAATACATTTACTATTATCAGAAACATTTTTTCTCCCCTCCCCCTCCGGACGGCAGAAATTTCCTCCGTGGGGGGAGTATGGATCTTTTCTGGAACGACCCAATGGCAAAGCGAACACTCGCTGATATAAACGGTATTTATAGTACCTTCGCTAAATTAATAGTCCCTATATAGTCTGTTGTGTTAATCTCATTTGATGTTATTTTATGTTGTTCTTTATTCGATCTGCCAACCCATGCCGGCTATGCTGAAACGTGGAACTTTTTGTTTCAAACTGCAAGAGAGTTGGGTCATATACCGTCACTTTGTCCATAGATGCTATACCACTGGCACGTGAAAAGTTTGACATTTTAATCAGCACTTTGAAGTATGAAATTTATGTTCTGTTGTGTTGATTTCACAGACTGAAAAGTATGTTTTTATACGACCACGTTTGTTACGACTCATGTATTATTAAACTTGTAATAAATGAAAATTTGTATACAGTTCTTTGTAGAATACCTGACTGACATCTTGCTTCTTTATTTTATAATATTAATTTCTGTTTAAGATACAGTAAGTTCTTTCATTTGCATTCATGTAAACAAAAATTGCTACACAGCACTCAACAATGTTGTACTGCATGCATGGCCGGCGACACAGGGGGTTTGGGGGTGGGGTTGGAACTCCCCTAGTATAGTCGGCAAAATATTGAATCGCAGCTGGCAAGACATTGATTTGGATAAAAAGGCAAAACAATCAAATAATTGAGTTACACCTATTAAAAATTAAGAATGTACCTAAAAAGTGGAGAAATATACGAAAAAATTAGGGACAAAATGGAACGGTGGTTAAACACAAAATAAGGTGGACAAATATATTGACCGGAAAATTTTGGGAAAAGAAATATTAATGAGTGGTTGTAGTGACTTGGTATAATTTGCCTTGATAACTTGGTAAAATTCACTTACACCCCCTCCCCCATTCAAAGAGGTCTACTCTTCTATGGTCTACTCTAGCACCGCCTCTGACCGCACGAACATAAACGATTGATCAATGGATCAATGGAACCTTGTCCTCACCATCAGGAACCTTGTCCTCACTGCCAGGAACCTTGTCCTCACCACCAGGAACCTTGTCCTCACCGCCAGGAACCTTGTCCTCACCGCCAGGAACATTGTCCTCACCGTCAGGAACCTTGTCCTCACCGCCAGGAAGCTTGTCCTCACCACCAGTAACCTTGTCCTCACCGCCAAGAACCTGGTCCTCACCGCCAGCAACCTTGTCCTCACTGCCAGGAACCTTGTCCTCACTGCTAGGAACCTTGTCGTCACCGCCAGCAACTCTTTCCTCACCGCCAGGAACCTCGTCCTCACCGCCAGGAACCTTGTGCTCACCGCCAGGAGCCTTGTCCTCACCGCCAGAACCTTGTCCTCACAGCCAGGAACCTTGTCCTCACCGCCAGGAACCTTGTCCTCACCGCCAGGAGCCTTGTCCTCACCGCCAAGAGCCTTGTCCTCACCGCCAGGAACCTTGTCCTCACCGCCAGGAGCCTTGTCCTCACCGCCAGGAGCCTTGTCCTCACCGCCAAGAGCCTTGTCCTCACCGCCAGGAACCTTGTCCTCACCGTCAGGAACCTTGTCCTCACCGTCAAGAACCTTGTCCTCACCGTCAGGAACCTTGTCCTCACTGCCAGGAACCTTGTCCTCACTGCTAGGAACCTTGTCGTCACCGCCAGCAACTCATTCCTCACTGCCAGTAACCTTGTCCTCACCGCCAGGAACCTGGTCCTCACCATCAGGAACCTTGTCCTCACCGTCAGGAACCTTGTCCTCACCGTCAGGAACCTTGTCCTCACCGTCAGGAACCTTGTCCTCACCGCCAGGAACCTTGTCTTCACCGCCAGGCACCTTGTCCTCACCACCAGGAACCTGCTCCTCAACGCCAGTAAGCTGGTCCTCACTGCCAGGAACCTTGTCCTCACCGCCAGGAACTTTCTCCTCACAACCAGCAACCTTGTCCTCACCGCCAGAAACCTTGTCCTCACCGCCAGAAACCTTGTTCTCACCGCCAGTAACCTTGTCCTCACAGCCAGGACCCTTGTCCTCACCGCCAGGAACCTTGTCCTCACCGTCAGGAACCTTGTCCTCACCGTCAAGAACCTTGTCCTCACCGTCAGGAACCTTGTCCTCACCGCCAGGAACCTTGTCCTCACCGCCAGGAACCTTGTCCTCACCGCCAGGAACCTTGTCTTGTCTTGTCCTCAGATGAGAGAAAACGTGGTCGTTGGCCATTAGGAATTGTCGAAGCGCTGATTGTGGGAAAAGATGGGAAAATCAGGGGAGCCAAAGTACGTACAGAGAAGTCTCAAATTCAGCGTGCCGTGCAGCATTTGTACCCACTAGAGCTCTCGGTTGACAAGAAAGAACCAGTACCGGCAATACTCAACCCGAAAGCGGAGACATTTAGACCGAAGCGGGATGCTGCAGTTAGCAGCCAAATTGTGTGTTCAGCAGATCGCGGAGGATTAACAATAGACTTAATTTCAAGTGAACATTTGGACACTGAACTGTGAACAGTCAGAACGATTTAGAAATATACTAAGGTTGACATTTAGTACAGTTGTATCATTGGTCAATCTCCAGGTGTATTGGACGACATTTATCTCAAATAGTAGCTAAATGGGGAGAGAGTGTTGGAGATTGTCAATATTTAATATTTAACAGTTTATGGCATACCTGAAGTTAATTAATGCGCAAGTGTCAATCAAAAAGCATGCGGTTTGGACATTGCAAGAATTTGTGTGATTGTGTTGAGACGGGGCGAGAATAAATATATTTTTCATAAAAGCGTTTGAAATCTCTACTTTTAGTGAGTTGTTGTGAATATAGGAGGCAATTCACGACAGTCCTGACCGTCGGGAACCTTGTCCTCACCGCTAGCAACCTTGTCCTCACCGCCAGCAACCTTGTCCTCACCACCAGGAACCTAGTCCTCACCGCCAGGAACCTGCTCCTCACCGTCAGGAACCTTGTCCTCACCGTCAGCAACCTTGTCCTCACCGTCAGCAACTTTGTCCTCACCGTCAGGAACCTTGTCCTCACCGTCAGGAACCTTGTCCTCACCGTCAGGAACCTTGTCCTCACCACCAGGAACCTGGTCCTCACCGTCAGGAACTTTCTCCTCACCGTCAGGAACCTTGTCCTCACCGCCAGGAACCTGGTCCTCACCGCCAGGAATCTGGTCCTCACCGTCAGGAACCTTGTCCTCACTGTCAGGAACCTTGTCCTCGCCGCCAGGAACCTTGTCCTCGCCGTCAGGAACCTTGTCCTCGCCGTCAGGAACCTTGTCCTCGCCGTCAGGAACCTTGTCCTCGCCGCCAGGAACGTTGTCCTCGCCGCCAGGAACCTTGTCCTCACCGCCAGGAACCTGGTCCTCACCGTCAGGAACTTTCTCCTCACCGTCAGGAACCTTGTCCTCACCGCCAGGAACCTGGTCCTCACCGCCAGGAATCTGGTGCTCACCGTCAGGAACCTTGTCCTCACCGTGAGGAACCTAGTCCTCACCGCCAGGAACCTGGTCCTCACCGTCAGGAACCTTGTCCTCACCGTCAGGAACCTTGTCCTCACCGTCAGGAACCTTGTCCTCACCGTCAGGAACCTTGTCCTCACCGCCAGGGACCTTGTCCTCACCACCAGGCACCTTGTCCTCACCGCCAGGGACCTTGTCCTCACCACCAGGCACCTTGTCCTCACCGCCAGGAACCTTGTCCTCACCGCCAGGAACCTTGTCCTCACCGCCAGGAACCTTGTCCTCACCGCAGGAACCTTGTCCTCACCGCCAGGAACCTTTTCCTCACCGCTAGGAACCTTGTCATTACCGCGAGCAACCTTGTTCTCACCGCCAGGAACCTTGTCCTCACCGCCAACAACCTTGTCCTCACCGGCAGGAACCTTGTTCTCGCCAGCAGGACTTTGTTCTCGTCGGCAGGAACCTTGTCCTCCCGCCAGGAACCTTGCCCTCACCGCCAGGAACCTTGGCCTAACCGCCAGGAACCTTGTCCTCAACGGCAGGAACCTTGTTCTCACCGCCAACAACCTTGTCCTCACCGGCAGGAATCTTGTTCTTGCCGGCAGGAACCTTGTCCTCACCGCCAGGAACCTTGTTTTCACCGCCAGGAACCTTGTCCTGACCGGCAGGAACCTTGTCCTCACCGCCAGGAACCTTTTCCTCACCGCTAGGAACCTTGTCATTACCGCGAGCAACCTTGTTCTCACCGCCAGGAACCTTGTCCTCACCGCCAACAACCTTGTCCTCACCGGCAGGAACCTTGTTCTCGCCAGCAGGACTTTGTTCTCGTCGGCAGGAACCTTGTCCTCCCGCCAGGAACCTTGCCCTCACCGCCAGGAACCTTGGCCTAACCGCCAGGAACCTTGTCCTCAACGGCAGGAACCTTGTTCTCACCGCCAACAACCTTGTCCTCACCGGCAGGAATCTTGTTCTTGCCGGCAGGAACCTTGTCCTCACCGCCAGGAACCTTGTTTTCACCGCCAGGAACCTT